CTCCGTTTGGTGTTCGGCTGAGTTCTTTATCTCTTCATTTGATGTTCTAGGGTTTCAGGATTGTTGATTCTCTGTTTGGCTTAGTTTTTCAGATCTTTGTTGTGGAGGGACGGCGTGGTGTTTCTGCCTAGAGCGCCATCTTGCCGGAAGACCATCTGTATTTTTTACGTACATTTTTTACATCCATGAGATCATCTTAGACACACAGCAACATGACTGGTTTTTAAAATTCTTTTCCTGTTGGTGGGTCCGTGTTCCATTGCGTACTCAATATAATTTATTTATATATGAGTAAATATAATTCATTTAATCAATCTTATATTGATAGGCATCATGAGTATACACTACTATTAACAGTGTTAGAGGGAATGTTCTTAGAATTTACTCTTTGAATGCTTAGCTAATTATTTACTTAGAATAAACTCCTACAAGTGAGCTTTCTGGGTTAAAGGTTGTAACTGTTTTCTAAATTTTGATGTATAAATACCTTGTCTAATTTGAATCATGTAGGGAAAAGCCTCTGTTCAGTGACAGGCATAAAGGCTGCCCACCGTGCCACAGCAGCCTTGTCAAAGCAAGAGGGGTGGCTGGTGGAGGGTGTTTTGGGTGTGAATGTTGTGTTTGTAGGAACTGGGTAGAACCTCAGTAGCAGACAAATGGTGACAACCCCTGGAGCTGCCACAGAACTGCCCCACCGACTCCTGTGTTCTTCCCCCAGATCTATGAACTGCGGGTGATGGAGACCAAACCTGACAAAGCTGTGTCCATCATTGAGTGTGACATGAACGTGAGTGGCTTGGTCTGGCACAGTGAGCTCAGGCCTGCGGGGGGGTGGGGGTGGGGGCTAGCGTGTGCACTGGTGGCCCCTGCAGGCCAGTGCCCCAGAAGAGTATCACACAGTTGGCTTGGACTATTTAGAGGGAGGAGGAGGATACCGACCTTGTGATCTGATTCAAGGCCAAAGGTGATAGCAGATGCTTACCAAGGAGTGAATGTCATTCTTAAAAGCTAAGGAAGCCTCCTCAGCTTCCTAAGTAGGAAGGAACTATTGAAACACACAACACCCTGGACGGATCTCCAGGGAATGATGCTGAACAAAAAAGGGCCAGTCTCTAAAGGTTATATGCTGTCCGGTTCCATTTATATAACTCTTGTGAAGTGACAAAATGATAAAAATGGAAGACAGATTAGTGGTTGCCAGGGGTTAGGGATGAGGGCAGGGTGCAGGAGGGAGGTGGGTATAGTTATAAAAAGACAACATCATTCCAGGGTGACTGGGATCCTGTTGGGTTGGAACTGTTCAGTATCTTGACAGTGGTGGTAGATACGTGGACCTGGCTTGGGTGATAAAATTGTATAGAATTTAATACACACACCGTATGTACACACTAGGGAAATCTGAATAAGATTGGTGGATGGTGTGAATGTGAATATCCTGGTGGTGATAACTGTAGTATAATTTTGTATAATGTTACCTTTGGGGAAACTGGACAGAGTGTCCAAGGGATCTCTGGGTATTATTTCTCACAACTGCATGTGAATCTGCAATTATCTCAAATAAGAGCAAAAAGATAAAGGAGCGTAAGTGTGTGGCCATGCCTCAAGATTTTATTTTTCATCTTGGAAACACAGGTAGACTTTGATGCTCCCTTGGGCTACAAAGAACCCGAAAGACAAGTCCCACACGAGGAGTCGACAGTAAGTTGTTTATCCAGCGTTTTCTTGACCACCACGCACCCTGCCCTGTTTTATAAAAATGCTTCTTTGAAGTGTGTGTTCACACCAGGCTCGTGTTTTGCTGGTGCTGACGCTGATGCAGTCACCTTCCGTGCAAATCTTCCAGCCTACACCCAGAGGGGAGCGATGTGTTTAGCTGTGAGCTGATGGCAACAGCAGTAGAAGTGGGCGACTCCAGGGAAAAGCTGGGGCCTCGCCTGCTGAGAAGCTCACCTGTCTTTTCTCCCTGTCAGGACAGCGAAGCTGACCACAGTGGCTATGCTGGAGAGCTGGGCTTCCGTGTGAGTAGCAGGCCATGTGTTCAATTCCTCTGCTCCTGCGTGCCAACTGCCCCTTTGAGCCAGATGTCCGCCTCAAGCCCTTAGCAGTGACACTGTGTTGGACATCAGCAGGGCTGTAGCCTCTGGGTATCCATTCACATGTGTCTCTGGCACTTTGTCAGTTACCAAGCCCTTTTACATCCACCTTCTCCTTTAAGCCTCCCAACAGCCCTGGAAGGCAGCCCCAACTTTTTTTTTTTTTGCCATTTGAAAAATTTCTAACCTACCAAAAAATTGCAATCGTGCAATGAAAACATATATACCCTTCAGTTAGATTCACCAAATGTTACCATGTTTGCTTTATCTCTCTGAAAACATGTCATCCTTCTTGAAAGTAAGTTGCAAACACAACCCTCCACTGCCATAGACCGGGCTTCCTGAAAAACAGTTTGGGCTGGTGTGCAGGGGATTGGGGTGCTGGGAGATGGGCAGGGACTGGGCGGATGAAGAAATGGAGCTGCAGTGTGGTCACAGCAGAGGCCTTGGCCCCCCACGGAAGTGGGAGCTGCATTGGCCCTGCAGAGGCCAGGGGCCAAAACTTTTCAGCCAGTCACTGGCTTCGAGCTGTCACTGGGCAGGGGCATAGCCTTTGGCCAGGAGGCTCTCTTTAGCTCAAGCAGTCCCGAGAGGGCTTCAGCTAAGGACTGCCGGCTGCCAGCACTCCAGCAGCTGAGGGAGTGAGGGCTTTAGTCCTGAGGGTTCTGTGTAGCGCTCTCCTGCCTTCACCTCTGCAGTCATCTGAACAAAAAGCACATGTGCTCTCATGGATCAGCTGCACAGACATTCCCATTGCCCATCTAGGCCTTCTCCGGCTCTGGAAATAGACTGGACGGAAAGAAGAAAGGCGTAGAGCCCAGCCCCTCCCCAATCAAGCCTGGAGACATTAAAAGGTGGGTGATGCCTGGCTGCACTCCTGTGGATGCTTTGTCCTCATCCAGGGTGAGTCTGCACCAGACCCCTGGATAGGGCAGCCACCTACCTACTCTGAGACAAAGCGTGGGTCAGAGAGTCTGTCAGGGTATGCTGGCTCTCCTTTGTGGGTGGAGCACACCATGTCCTGGGCGGGGGATGGTGTGTCCCGGGGAAGTGTGTCAGTGCATCTGTGCCTCCCCTGCCTCTCTCTAGGACCCCTGCAGGCCAGCTTCCCTTGCCTCTCCAGTTCTGCCTCCGCCAGCTCCCAAGTGGCCTTCCAAAATTTGTACCTGATCACCTCTTTCTCCTACTGCATACCTTCTCGGTTCCTATTTAGTAATCTGCCTGTTTTCCTGTGTTGTGACATTAAAGAATTGATCAGGTCCCATTATCTCAGCTTCACTAGAACAAAGAGCCTGGAGCTGCCTCACTTCAATATGTTTCTACTGTTTTGTCAAGGAACTCTCCCAGCAGATTTCCTTCTCTGGTGGCTGTCATGGTGATAATAGGGAATGACACATATCAGCTGTCCTATTGTGTGTTAGAGCTGAAAGAGGATGCTGGAAATGGCATTTTTTACCCAGTCTTGTAAGGAGTGAAATTAATCTGATGACAGTGCAGCCTCTCCAGGAGGATCTGTGAGGACGTAGGACAGGGACAGTGAGGGCCTGTCATGCCTCTAGATGACCCCGATGCAGGTCAGGCCCAGAGCCTGCAGAGACCCCTGTGCATGACAGTGCTGATGCCGAATAAGGAAACCAGTGACTTAGAATGTGCCAGCCTCCCTCCTGGAAGGGTACTGAGCGTACCTGAGGGCTGGCCAGAGGCGACCCCCAGAACGAGGGCCACCAAGAGGACACTTCTTGTTTATCCCAAAAATGACTTCTAGTCTTTTTTTTTTCTGGAACTGACATTTCTCCTCCTTTGTCTTTTTCACAGAGGAATTCCCAATTATGAATTTAAACTTGGTAAAATCACTTTCATCAGGAATTCACGTCCACTGGTCAAAAAGGTTGAAGAGGTGAGTTTATTTCATTGGTAATAAGAGGTTTCATTGGCTAGTGATGACTGTACGGATTCTTACCATTCTCACTAAGGGTGTTTCTGTGATTTTCGCCTGTCTTGGGGGCCCTGCTATCCCTGGTCTCCTGGTTTCTAGAGGCTGTGTAGGGTGCATACAGTCTCCGAGGCCGAGCAGTGTCCTAGGGTCGACTCCAGGTTCTGCCACTGGTAAGCTTGTTAACTATTGCTGTGAGGTATTTGTCCACTCTGCAGACCTTGAGCTTCCTGTCAGTGTCTGTGAGCAGCACCTTTTCCCTGAGTGGGAAGCTGAGGGAAGGGGGAGAGTAGGGCTGAGCACATGGCAGACATTGGTGCTTTGAAGCTGTGACCAGCCTGGCACCAAGCTCACTCTTTGTGTGCTGCAGTTGTCAGACAGGTGTCCTGGAAGTAAGGGAGTTTGCTTCCAGTTAGCGGCAGAGAGACTGTGGGTCTGACAGTTTGAGTAGCTTTTCCAAGATCATGAAGGCAGTGAGAGGTGGTGGGCAGTCTGCGCCTAGCTTCAGGCCTTGTGTGCTCCTTGGTGCCACAGCCCTGACATCACCAGTCAGTGGTAATCAGAGCAATATAGCAGATGTTCGTAGAGCCCTTGTTAGGTGCTGGTGCTGTCTCATTTGATTCTCGGAATAAAGGCTAAAGGTTGAAGCAGGAGGAGTCAGCATAGGGGAAGTTCTGCCTTGTGAGAACTTGTTCCAGGGTGATGGGAATTTGTTCATAAAATCCAGCATGCCCTGTGCAGGTTGCCCATTTCACTTAGCAGCCATGGGTGGGGCAGTCACCTATGTGTGACATGTGTTCTAGAGGACCAACACTTCTGATTCATCACTGTCCTGGTTCCTTTTTTCAAAGGATTGGACTCTTGGGGATCTAAGAGTAGGGCAGAGGTACTGTGAGCCTGCTCAGGGTGGGCTGCTCATTGGGACCAGTCACCAGCCAGTCCCTGGCTGCATGATCATTGCTGGCTCCTCCTGACGACTAAAATCGTCCCCTCTGGCATTTGGGGCAGTTTTTTGTGAACAGAGACCACTGTGCTGTCAGCGCACGCCATCCCTACTCACAGCCTCTCCTGGCCTTAGCGTGCTGCAAGTTGACACTGTGTTAGGGACCTGCCAGGCCCAGCTGAGCAAATATGGTCTACCCAGCAGACCTCACCTTCTGACTCCTCCTTAAGGCCCTGTCTTGCCGAAGACCAGAGCCTGACTCAGTGTGGGGCTCTCTCCTGACTGACTGGTGGCTGACTGTCATAGATTTACAGCAGGAAGTGGTGGGGTGCCAAGCAAAGCTGAATCTGTTTTCTTCATAAATGAATATTTAAGAAGAAATGGATGGATAAAGACGGGATTGAAGGTACAAATTTAGCTCTACTCCTTCCTGAAAGTCCACTAAAGAGATGGTAAATGGTAATAAGCTATTAAAGACAGTGGGAGAGGAGGCAGCTGCAACAAAATTTTGGACGTCCCAGAGCAGAAGGACAAGTGGGAACTGACTTAATAGACCGTGGAAAGCTGAATCCCAAATTGGCTGTCGGGACAAAAGCAAGGCGATTTGGTTTAGATTGTAGAGCTCTCCAAGGCATCTTTAGAAATGGAGTCTAAAAACAAGATGTCTGTTAAAAAGCAGAACCACAACACCCTTCCCTAACCTTGCAATGCAGGAGAAAGCTGGAGGTTCACCTTCTGGAAAAGGTATAATGGAAGGTCTCTAGACTTGGGCCATCAGGCACAGTGGCTAACAGAACTGAACTAGAAGAATGAATAAGTGACAGCCTGCATGCTGAGTGTTGATGCCCTTGGTGTTCTTCCCCATTTAGCTCCTGAACACTGCAGCCAAGTGTGCTTATGGAATTGGGTGTCTGGAGGAGCTTTCTGGGGACAGTCTGATGGGCCCAGGAAAAGGACCTCAAGATACTAATAAAAGCAAGGTTCCCCTTAGAAAATCCTAGGCAGCTCACCCCAGTGAAGACCAGTCAAAAAATTTCCACAGCCAACATCCAAATAGATTTCTGGAAAGAGAACAGAGAAATCTTCAGAGAAACGATTTCCCTGAATCAAAGGGCAGGCTTTTGCTGCTCGGAAGGGCCCCCAAGTGCTCAGCATGGGTGAAAATGGCCCTAAAGGGGCAGAGGAGCCACTCCTAAAGAGGTTTCACACAGATTCAGAATGGCATCTGCTTCTTAGTAGGACACAGGAATCTAGAAGATTCTGAGGGGAAATTTTTACAGCCTAACATTCTGTACCCAGCCCACCTATCAGTGAAATGTGAGAGTATGAAAAAGATAGTTTCAGACACATAAGATCTCGTAAAAAGATACTCCTCGTGCAGCCTTTCTTAGTAAGGTGCTAGAGGATGTACTCCACTAAAGTAAAGAAATGAGAAAGGCATAGAATCCAGAAAACAGGGAGTCCCTACCACCATGTGCATTGCTAGAGAAACAGGCTGGCCGAAGGCCCCAGCGTTCTGCTGGAATACTGCTGTGATTGAATGGATGGAGAAGAGAGAAGCCAAACACCATTTTTGACACCAGGAAAACCAGAAGGCTGTGTAGGAAAGGAAGACTAAATGACTGGGCTGTGGCTCACATTTACAGAATTATAACTACCGAAATGCTGCATTAGGATGGGGAGGGAACAGAATGAGTGTTGGGGCACAGGGTGGTCAGGGTATGTGCTGGAGAGAACAGAAGCCTTTTTTTCCCGAGTGAAAAGTCAGTAGATAATGTGTAAGATTGACTAGCAATAAAAGCATGTGAAAATGGGTCATTGTGCCAAGATACCTGCTATTTTCAAGGGATCAGAAAAAATAAGTCCTTTCTCTGCTGGTAGGAGAATAGCTTAATAGAATGTTTTTGAGTGCGAATTAGTAAGCATATAATAAAAGCCTGAAAATATGTATACCCTTTAACCCAGGAATTCCTTCTAGGTATGCACTCTACTTTAGGAAAAGCCAGGTCTGTGTACACACACATGAGGCAGCTCACCATAGCAGTTTAAAATTCTGAAAGCCTGGGCATGAGGGGGCCATGAAGTGGTACAAGACTGTTTCACACGTGACCAGAGTCTCTGTAGCCTTTAGAGGGTATTAGTTAAGAAATTACAGTTTATACAATCATATACCAAAAAGTGACTGGAAGGCTTTTTTTAGGGTAGTGGCCCGGTGGTTAAGAGCTTGGCTGCTAACCAGAAGGTCAGCAGTTCGAATCCCCCAGCCACTCCTTGGAAACCCTATGGGGCAGTTCTGCTCTGTGCTACAGGGTCGCTATGAGTCGGAATCAACTTGATGGCAACAGGGTTTGGAGTAACGAGTCACTTTTATTTTCTTGGTGTGTTCTATATTTTCTTTACATTGGAAATGTAGTGCTTTTGTAAAAGGATACATTTTCAACCTGAAAATAAAGGCTGTGGTAGACTCATAGTTGTGATTCTGTGGTTTTCTCAATGTAATAAATTACGACTTGTATTTATATTTAAAATATTTTTTATTATGAATGGTGGAAAAGTAAGAAAAATGGCTGGATGATACGAGTCAACAGAATAGAACATTTATTATAAATCTCCAAGGACTTTCTGAAAATGGTATTTTATCTTCACACTTAGGATGAAGCTGGAGGCAGATTCGTCGCATTTTCTGGAGAAGGACAGTCATTGCGTAAAAAGGGAAGAAAGCCATAAGTCGGGGCTGTTGCCTGATTGGAAAATAAAATAATCAATTGCAACATATTGGCTTTTAGTTACTGGCTCTGACAGGGATGAGACTAGCATCAGAGAACGCTCTGTTACTTAAGATTTGTTTAGAGTTAACCTAGAATTATCAAGTTGGACCTGGAAATGGAACAGCAGGACTTCATAGTTGTGCGCTTGATATTGGGAAAGAGAAAGAACTTGCCTGTGAGTTCCGGTAGTCAGCCACCTCCTTGCCACTCTATGCTCAGCCCTCCAGGGGCTGCCACTGGCTCAGGGAGATCAGCGTTCCCTCATTCCTGATAAAGCCAGTGGAGGGATTGCCTTGCTCTAAATTGACATGTTCTGGTTTTTTTTTTTTTTTTTTACTTAGTCTTTCTTTTTTGTTCCAGGTCGGTCGTTCAAAACATTGCCTTTGGCCTAGAATATCTGCTACTCTGGCTGCAATTTAAGTATTTGAGAAAGGGTATTTTTATTTCACATATTGATATATTTTTTTTTTAAGTGCCATTTCTCAGAAGGAAAACCTGATTTGAACAAAGCGCCCACTTTTATTTCGGTTTCATGTGGAAATAACTTTGGCTTCTGAAATGAACCTGTTCTAAAGTAAAACAACTTCATGTTGAAGCACAAATGTGAATATTATTATAAATAAACACTAAAGATACACTCTTTTACCTTCTTCCACATCCCCACTCACAATTTTATTGTATTAAAGTATCCACAGTTCTGCTGGTCTGTCTGTATTTTTGGTTAGTATCTTCTCTTTCGAAAATGTGAGATTTTTTGACATGCTAATCCAATTATTTTAATCTCTTCCATTCCTAGAAAATAATTCTAAATCAAGAATTTAAAATAAAAACAGGCAATGACTAAAACCTGGACTGCCTCTAAATGTTTATGTAACAACATGGATTGGTGGTAGGGCCACTGACCAGGAAGGGGAGGAAGGCCTGCTTACGAGTGCCCCACTTTCCATCCTGCCTTAAGAAAAGTGCTTCTCTGGGGTTTCTCCTGGAGGATGGAGAGAGAAATGAGGCTCTGTGACCCCTGGGGTAGGGATGGTGAGGCCCAGCAGGGAGCCTTCTGTGTGCCAGGATTTGTCCTGCTTATGGGCAGAAGTCTGACTTTGACAGGGCTTAATCCAACAGTTAGAAGAGAAAAAGATGACTCCTCTAGGACACCAGCCTCAGGGTCCACCCAGGTGACCTCTGAGAGAATTTGCATCAACAAATGTCAATGATCAGGGCTCAGACCCATGGCCCAAACGGTTATCACAGAGGTCAGGACCACCGGTGATGGACGTGGTATTGGAAGATGTGAATTACTGTGGTGACCTACCTGACCCTCCATGAAAGGGGCCTCAGTTTTCTCAGCAGAAATGGGCACCTTCTTTAGTGGATTGGCAGCCACCATTTGCAGGATCAGATTGGCTAACAAATTGTAATTTTATGAATTATATGCATAATGAAGAATGTGGCCTTTGGCTTTTGTCATATGTAACCAACATCTATTGTGTATGCAATGAAACTCATCTGGCTCTTGGTTGGCATTGTAGCGAGCACCCCCCTGCCTAGGCAAGCGGGTAGACCCAGTTGTTGGGCCTCTGGTGGGAGCATTAAGGATATACACAGTGGGGTCACCTGGATTAGAAGTCATAGTCATTAACTGCTACACCCTGGCCTATAGTCTTCTTAGACAGTGTCCCTCCAAGCTTGGGCCATGGGCCAGCCACCTCAGTGGTGGGCCCTTTGGTAAAATAGCAGCTTTCTGGGCCTCTCCTCCAGTGAGTCTGACCTAGTCTCACTCCTGGGGAGGCCCCAGCAACCTAGTTTTAAGAGACTCCCCAGCCAATGATTTCTATCTGCAGAAGTTGGAGAACCACTGCATCCAGATACGAGGTATTGCAGAGTGTTGATGCAGGTCCACTGGCTTCTTTACTTTGCCTTTATTGCCTCATTGCATCTCTCCTGTTGGTAAACGTTCTATTTCCCCATGCCCTCTAAACAGTTTACACTCTTACCGGACATACAAGCCTTCGCTAGCTTTGCAAGTCCCCGCTTCTCACTTCATGCCAGACACAGCCTCCATGCCTTTGACCAGGCTGTTGCTATGCTCAGAACGCTCAGCCCCGGTTTCCTCCACGAGGTTATTCTGTGCCCTATACCCCTTCCTGCATACTACGCTGAACCAACCCCAGTTATCTTGTGAATACACCTCAGTCCTTTTGAGTGGACGCGCAGGGTGAGACCACTGTTGTCCCAGGACCTAGCAGGTTCTTGGCACGGAGTTGATGTTCAGTATGTGCTTAGGAAAATTAACCGGACCTTTGAGATTTGTGAAAATAATGAAGCTGTTGAAAAGAACTGGCCTGAATCGTGTGGCTTCATAAACAGCCATCTTAACGTGGCTGGCTGTGCAGCCTGGGACACCCACCGGCACCAGGCGGGCCGCTGCGGTCATCATCCCCTCCTCACCTCTTGGCGCTGCGATAACAGTAGGTCCGGGGCCAGACTGTGTGTCCCAGTAGAGGCGACCGCACCCCCTCCCCGGCACCGCCCCTCTCCCCGGCCCCGGCTTTTATTGGCTGCCCAATGCGGACCTCCTGTTTATTGGAGCCTCTCAAGGAGGTGGGCGATGGTAGAACCCAAAGTATCTATGAATTCATTGGCTCTTCTATTTGTCCATCGCGTGGCTGCCGGCTTTCTTCAATCTCCATTGGCTGGCGGGATGAGGAGGCGGGGTTAGGTGATTTTTACCTAGACATGGCCGACGGCGGCAACAACTGGCGGGTAAGTGTGGTCCGTGACCCGGATCCGCAGCGGCCTCGTCGGACTAGGCGACCATATTAACCAGACCCTCACTGGGCTGGGCGGGACGGGGTCGGGGTTGGGCAGCCCAGCGGCCTCTGGGGTGGGGCGCACCGCCGGCCCGGCTCAGGCGTCTCCTCTCACCGCAGCCGCCGCGCCCCTGCGAGGCCTACCGCGCCGAGTGGAAACTCTGCCGCAGCGCAAGGCACCTTCTGCACCACTACTACGTCCACGGCGAGCGGCCGACCTGCGAGCAGTGGCGTCGCGACCTGGCCAGCTGCCGCGAGTGGGAAGAGCGCCGGAGCGCTGAGGCCCAGGTACGCCGGGGAGGCCGGGGGTGGCCTTTGGCCAGCGGGGGCACGTCGCCGGGACGTCAAGGCAGGCAGCATGCGTGCAGCCAGGGGCGCGTCCTGCGTATATTTGTAGAGCTCCTTGCACGTGCCAAGCCCTCCCCTCGATTCAGGCACCGGGGACCCTGTGGGGAGGAGGCCTACGGGGCCCGTCCGCATCCTTTCGAGAAATGCCAAAAATAGGTACATCAACTGGACTTTCAGATGGCGTTAAGGACAATGAAGGAGACAAGCTAGGAGGTGGCTTGGAGAGGGAGGAGGGGCTACCTGCAAGTATTAGGGTCATCAGCCTTCGGAGGAGGTGATGTTGCTGAATCCTGAACGACCTGGAGCCAGCTTTCACCCAGCCCTAGGTGACATGACTGAGGAACAGAAGCAAGGCCATGGTTCCTGGAGCAGAGGGAGGGAAGGCTGTGAAGGGGTAGAGGATGAGGTTGGAGAGGTACCAGGGACCCGCTGAGTCTTGATAAGGAGTTTAGATTCTGTTCTGAAAGTATGCTGGGGAGCATGCATGATTTGATTTCTATCTTTAAAAATCACCCTGACTGCCAGGGTGTGGAGAGTGTAGGGGCAGGGAGACCAGTAAGGAGGTGGTTGTAGTTCTCCATTCATTCAGCAGATATTTATCACTTGCTTCTTTCATGGCAGGTGTTCTGGGGGTTACAGGAGTGAAGGGAACAGCCCCTGCCCTCCTGGCACCCACACTCTAATGGTGCCTTGGGTCCGTGGTGGAAGTGTGGATGGAGAGAAGTGGTGAGGGTGCAGTGGCTCATGGGGAGTGCCCAGGGGAAGGGGAGCCACCAGGAATGGGGCTATTTCAACTTGGCCAAGTGTTTGTGATTGTTTTGGAACAGACAAGCTGATGGGGAAATCAAGATGCTGTGTAACAGGAAGTGATGATAAATCCATAACGTGACAGTCAGAAAACTGGGAAAGATAGCTTGCAGCCTATATGGCAAGAGATTGATAACCTTAATAGGTATAAAAAAGGAGTTGTTATATATCAATAAGAAAAATGGGGATGACTTCAAAATAGAAAAATGGGCAAAGAGCATGAAGAAACAGTTCATTAAAAAAGAAAACCAAATGGCCACATACACAAGTTACAAGGACAGGAGGAGTGTTTTTTGCCCAGTGGAATGTAGAAGTATTGCTAGGGGTTTGGAGAGTTAGGAGTACTTGTGGATTGTTCCTGGGAGTGTGAACAGGAACACCCTCTCTGGAGGACTGTTACTCTGACTAAATAGGTTAAATGCATAACTTTTGACCCCAGTTTTACTTCTGGAAGTCTGTCCTAGAAAAGGAATTGGACAACAGCGTACAGTTAAAAGTTTGAAGTGCTCATTGTGTCATTGTTTGTGATTGTGCAAAAACTGAAAGCAACCTAAATTCCACTAGTAGACATTTGACTAAATAACTACTTCTACATGGTGGAGTGCCACGTAGCCTTTAAGAAGGATAGTAATATACCCTGGCATGGAAAGGTACCTACGGTGTATTGTTTAGTGAAAAAAAGCAGGAAATAGACCAACCAGCAGAGTATCGTCCCTTCCTTAGAGAAACACGATAACTCTAAAATTTGAGCATAAAAAGGTGTCAGGGAAGCTGTTACCTGTCACCTGAGATGGAAGCCTGGGAGCCGTTCATATTTTACTTGGCGTTTCTGTTTTCTAAATGAGAACAAAAACGTTTCTATTTGAGACAATAGAGCTTGAGGGAAGAGAGACAAGTAGGCAGGTGGAGAAGATGAACTTGTATGTGTTAAGAGCATAGTGCCTGGCATGTGCCAAGGGCCCACCTTGTGTGACAGCACTGCTCTTGTGCTTGTTTTTGAAAGAGTGGATGAATAGAGGCTCCCACGTGCAGAGCGGGACCTGTTGTATGCAGCTGTGCCCAGTGACCTATTGCCCGATTCCTTCCTCAACCTCCCAGGGAGGCCTGGGGATGTGTCTCGTCTCATCTTTCTTCCTTCAGCCAACGGCTCCTCTCTGCAGATTCCCACAGCCACTCTTTCAGACTTTTTTCTCTTCTCACAGCTCAGCATCTCCAGTCTCAGTCTTTGCAGGTGAACCTGCCCCAGACTCACTAGGTGAACCATAGCCAAGAAGCCTTGAGGCCCAGGAGAAGATGTTTTAAATTTTATTCAAATGATGGTGATTTACATAGTAGTTGTTCACAGTAGCTTTTAAAAAAAATGATCTAGAGCTGTATGTGCTAATATGGAACAATCGCCAAGATATGTTAGGTGGAAGCAACGAAGTTGCAGAACAGTATGTACACTAGGCTCTTGTTTCTCCGTCTATGTTTGGGAGGGTACTGAGGAGGAGGGAGATACAGGGGTCTCGTGAGGGCACTCAGGGCCACTGAGACCCAGCCATGAGGCAGAAGTGACTGGGGTCTCATTTGCACAGCGATCCCTCTGTGAGAGCGAGCGGGCCCGAGTCCAGGCTGCGCAGAAGCACGCCCTGGTGTGGGCCCTGAGGCGGAGCCCCCCTGCAGAGTGGCACCTTCCTCTGCCCCAGGACGAGAAGGATGAGTGAGGAGCAGCCCTGCCTGCCACCTCTGCAGCTGCCTCCGGCCTATCTGAAATGGAGCTGTCATGCAACCCTAAGGACTGTCACTGGCCTGTTGTACTGGGTGCCTATAAGCTCCACCTGGCCTGGAACATGGAGCAGGACGTCTCCAGCCCCACCTGCTCCACCCCTCACCTGCAATCAGGGAGCCCCACTGCGTGACACTCTGGAAGACAGTTGGACCCATTCCAGAGCTTCAGGGAAGCCAAGCAGCGTTGCAGCTATCTGTGAGCAGCCAGGGCAGGCTGGCTCACCCTTCTCCCCTGGAACAACAGCATGGCAGATGGCAGAAATGAGGTCTAGAATTCTCGGGTAAACTCTTGAGTCACAGCCCTGACCCGTGTGGACACGTGTGGATCAGAATAAGGTAGCTAAATTGTGCTGCTGTGAATGCCTTACCTGGTCTTTGAGAAACAGGCCACTATGTCCTGGGCTTGGTGAACCACGTGTTGCCAGTCACTGGCCTGGGAAGCATGGAGCTCCCTCTCTGGCCCACTCCCTCACTTTCGCAGCAGTCACAGGTGGGCATAGCCGGTGGCCAGGAGGCAGGGTGGGACTGAGGAAGGGGTTCACCTGACCTCTGGGCCAGCTTTCCTTCTCTCCTAAGCTCAGAGCTAGACCTCTTGGAGACACTGGTTTTAAAGAAATGTACACAGCCTCAGAACACACAGCCTTGCATAAAAAGGATTCATGGATTCTTGGCTTAAAAAACCCAAGCCCCAAACACATGGATTTAGGTTTCTTTCCCTCAAAATTTCCCCTGGTCATTTTTAGAAAATGTGGAATTAAAAGCTATTTCACACATTTGATTGAAATAGAGGCTGAAAATTAAATGCGCATTTGTTAGATTTCACACCTAACATTATTGTGCTCAGACAGTATTAAAATTTTGGATGCTTATACTCTTGTAGATGTTTATAAGTATGTATATCAACCAACAAGAAGTCTAGTTTTTGAAGAGGTCTCTTTTACTGCTAGTGAAATGATTTAGCAGTGTGCAGTTCATAGCAGACCTGCTGTGTGGTATGGTGGTGAGGTGGCTAGGTACCCAGTGGCTGTCCTTGCTCTCTTCCTTGCCAGCTAGAACCACTGCTTCTTCGTGCTCCCTCATGGCTAGGCTCCATCCTGGCCACCAGCGGTGGGCCAAATACTTTTTAATTCATTCTCTGGGACAAAATAATCCATCTTTTCAAAGGGGCATAAATCCAAGAATAAAATTTCTCCTTATGTGTTTTCTTCTGTACACCTCAAGAATCACTCCCTGTGTCTATGTGTGTATCTGTGGGTGGCGGGGTGGGGGGAGGTGTTATGTGCATATATGATTTCAATAGCAGAGGTAAGTGTAAAGAAGAGCCAGGCTTGTCTCCTACCATCCTAGGAGAGGGGGGACCTTGATTCGTCTAAGCCAACCATAGGATCTCCATCTTCCCCATGGCTGTGGCTGGTTTAAGAAGGAGCATTTTTGGCCAATGAGAGAGGAGAAGGCTGCTAGAGATCTTCTAGAAGAATTTTCCTCACTCTTAAAGAGAAATATGGGGAAGGGACATCTGAACTTTGCAGTTTGCATATGGGGCCTGGAGTTGCAGCAGCTACCTTGGGGTTCCTGGGCAGGCTGGGGGTGTGGGTGAAGCCTGAGGGCACCAGTCAGCACACCCAGGAAACTGCAGTCTGTAGGCTCATCCTTGCTGGAGCCTCGCTCCCTTGGGTCTGCTTGTTTAGGCTCTTTCGTGTTGGGCATGTGGTGCTCTTTTCTGTCCTCTGACATTCACATCCTCCTGCTGCAGTGCCACTTTTGCATTTTGCTTGCCTTCCTTTGCTATTCGATACGGTCCACATGCTGCTCGATAAGTTCCACATCAACAGATAATCTCTCTGGACAGAATGTTCCCTGCATTCACTCATGTGTTCATTCCTTCACAACACCTGAGTGCCTACTGCATGTTGGACAAGGTTTGAGACTCTGGGGTCGTGGTCTTGAAACATAAGTTGCTCTCAAAGAGCTTACGCTGTAGTTTGCAGACAGATATAAACATTTAAACATGAATAAATAAGGACTTAAAATAGTGGCCGTAAATAGTGGTAAGTGCGATGAAGAAAATGAATAATGAGACAGAACAGTGCCTTTCACACTTTGCACAAAACCATGCTAACCGCCCTTGGACCCCAACATAGCTGCTGCAACTCCAAGCATCACATGCAAACTGCAAAGTTCAGATGCCCCTCTCCCATGTTTAAAAGTGAGGAAAAGTTAGGGTTTATACTTTTACATACAACATATGTAGTTGAAACAAGTTCACAAGACAGTACCTATCTGTATTGTGTGTGATGCACTGACATTTTCAGTTCTGTGCCATTAAAAACATGGGGGAAGTTAAGAACAGAGATGGAGAACAGGGTTGTGGTTGCCAGGGGTTAGGGATGGGGGAGGGCATGGGGGTCTTGTGGTGGTGGTACCTTTATTGTGATGGTGGTGGTTACACAAGGCTACACATGTGATAAAGTTCCATAGAGCTATACACACACACAAGTAAGCGTGTGCAGGTAAAACTCAAGATATCTAGATACTGTGGATTGCACCAATGCCAATTTCCGGGTACTGATACTATAGTTGTGTAAGGTGTTAATGCTGAGGGAGGCTAGGGGAATGGTGCACAGGACCTCTCTGTACACTTCTTTGCGATCTCCCATGAAACTATAATTACTTCAAAATAAAAAAATAACTGCTAGGGATGACCCACTGATTGATTATACAACCTAATGGATTAAAAGCACTAATGTTAGGTGCCTACAGCAGGCACTACCTTAGGCAGAGAAGTCGGAGAAGGCCTCAGCCCCCGAACCCAGGCCTAAACCAGGAGACAAGGCAGAGCAAAGGGCAACACAGAGGCTGAGGAACAAATGCCACATGCTGATGGGGTGGGGGTGGGCCGGGATCAGGTATCTGAACTCAATTCTCCAAGTGGCTTAGGTTTTACAGGTCTCTGGCTGCTGTCTGGAGAATGCCCTGGGGAAGGGACAGAGCAGATGGCAGGCTACTGCAGAAGATGCAAAAGGGGACGATGCTTGGACCTCAGAGGAAGCAGTGGAGGTGGAAAGTGGCTGCATTCAGGATTTGTCTCAGAGGCAGAGCCAAAAGACTAAGAATCCTTAGGCAAAGTTTTTATTCAGGACTGGTAAGTTTTTAAAACAAAAATGAACCACATACTAGGAAAACCATCTAAATTCCTATTCAAATGACATGTTTTCCGAGTTCTGCACTAAGGTAGTTAGGAATCTGAAGCCTTTCTGAGGCTGTGATGCAAATCATTAGGAAAAATGACTATCTTTATATACTAGACCGTCATCATTTCCAGACTCATATCACTTGAATAAAAGACAAGGCCCTCTGCCAGTCAGGCCTCACAACCTGGGGGAACACAGCAGCTTCCTTAAGTAGTATCCCTGGCTTGTTCCACTCTCCCCAGCTCAAAACTCAGAACTGGCTCTGCGAATGACACGTTTCAACATGTCCTCTGCCTGTCCCACCAGGAAGGCCCTGCTTCTCTGCACCCCTGGCCAGCAGGCAAAATCCTATGCCTCCTTCATCTACACATACATATGCTATATGTAAAAGTATCAACTATATATTTTGTCTCCTGCTGGTGGGGAACTTGTTCATTCTGGTTCAAACCCCTGCTGAGAATTTGCATTTCCACCTCAGATACACTGAATCAGAATCTTCATTTTAACAAAATCTCCGGGTGATTCTTATGTATAATACATTTTGAGAATCACTGCTCTACTAGTGGTTCTCAAAATTGCTCTAGCCTGCAGCATTAGCATCGCCTGGGAACTTGTTAGAAATGCAAAGTGGGGTGGCATCTAACCCCCAAGGATCCTCAGGTGAATTAATCTTGATTCCAACATAAGACAGAGACAGTTTTGAGTAAACTTATGTTTATTAACAGCATGCCTTATTCTGTGAAAAGACTTGAACCCTAGTTACTGTGGCTCTCAAGGCCAGCATGTTGAGGACAGCCGCCTGCAGCCTTATCTCTTGAACTCCACCTGTGTGTATACCTTGGTGATGTTGTTGTACCTGCCTTCAGGGGGCTGGTAGTTAGGGACTGGTGGTGTGTAATGCGGCCCTTCCCTCTCAAAAGGGAGCAGGCTGGGGTCCCGCTTGATGGCTTCTGCGTGGAGCTCTGGAGATGTGAGGTGCAGCTCCTGCAGAGCTTCCTGCTGGGCCTCAAGCAGGGACCTGATAGCATCCCTCTCCATCTCATGCTCTTGCTGCTTGTACAGGGACCACTTCTTCAGAAGCAAAGCTCTCCTCTCAGCCTCCTCAAAGGAGAGCTCCACCTGAGGCCGCTGTCTGGGAACACACAAGTTCAAAGGTGTGATGCTGGGGAGCACGGACCTTGGTGACAAGGGAGTCTGTGTGACTGTGCATATGACCCAGGCATCCCCATTGTCACAGACGAATGGGACTTAGGGGAAAAAAGAAGTTTTTGACAAATTAAGGAATGAAATGTTGAATGTGGCAGCAGTTGCAGCTGACACTGGGAACCAGTGGCATTTGCTTTATGTGGAGACAAGAAAGAGTGATGCCATGAGAGATGATGGTAGCACTTCCTCTCACCCCAGGCAAAGACTGCCTTTGGTGAGAGGTGACTTTGAAGAAAAGTGAAATGGTATTATGAAGTTGGGCACCAAAATCCCAGGGAATCAAGAGCCTATCACAACCCTGGAGTATCATAAAAAAGCACCTGACATCTCCCACTCACATGGCAGGTGCTACTTAAAAATGGTACACACTTCTTACAAGAAGGCAGCAAAGACAATATCCAAGAGCTGTTAACCCTGTACACAACACAATCCCAACAGACACCAACTATGAGCATTTGAATCATAAGGCAAGAGGCTAAAGCTTTTCTACCATCCAGTGGGGGCAAGGGTTGCAGACCCAAGGCAGCAGTACTGCCTGAGTCGGCCACAGCCAGGATTCCCCATGCAAAAGAGCAGCGTGAACTCTGGAGCAGTGCTGACACAAACTCACTCAAAGCATCTGACCTGGACTTATCACCATCACACAATTATCTGGGTTTCTTTCTTCCCCACCTTAAGCCATTCAAGAGCACCATCTAGGAACAGTTTCTCTGACTTCCGAAAGGCACAACCAAGGAGAATAGGACTCAGTATCAGGGCCAAGTCAACCCAAGTTAATAGACCCTTTCCCATCACAGGCTTGAACTGCAGCTAGAACTACCTGGAGTTGGTGGAACTCCTTTGATTCAAGGACCTCAACCCTAGAGGAGAAGCCTTACCTCGCTTTATCTAAAAGCTTCACAGGAGTAATAAAATCTTCAATGGGAATTAGCTCTTGGCTAGCTTTTTCCAGTCGTCGGATCCTCCGCTTCAAACGGTCCTTTGCTGCTTGGTCTTTTTTAGGATCTACTTTCTTTTTCTTCCGAAGAGGTTCTGCTCTAATGCATTAAAACAAATGTTAAACATTTTCCTTCTCAGTTTCGTGAACATGGTGAGAGACATGATATTAGATGAACTGCCCCATACTTGTACTGAGCTCTCCACTGGGGGAAGGAGCTGTGCGTGGGAAAGAACGCAGCTGACTACTTTCACTCCAATGTCCTTGTGAGAAATGTGTGAGTCCTGTCAACTCCAGGGAAGGAATGGAAACCTTCACATGCAGTAGGGTATCAATTACGGGGAAGTGCTCATCTTTAGTGCTAGGGTGTGGGTGTGCTTTGGGATTAAAATGAAAAGTGAAAAAAACAAACCAATGATTTAGAAGCTCATCACTCACGTTTTAAATGGATTTGTGATTTATAAAAATGCTTTGACTGGCATGTAGTAGGAGTGACCCCTATTTACTTTTTGGGATTTCTTAACAAATTTCCCCATCTTAGAGCATTGTCAAAGTATGATTTACTCCTTTAGGAACACATCTCCCATGGTAATAATGTATTCTTAAGAAGAATCAAATCCTCTAGCATCAACACCGAGTTTCAGTGACTGAAGCCACCAGAAAGCATCCAAAGTCTCAGGTGGAGAGACCTTTAATCTAGCACCTCCTTACTCCCTCTCCAGGGTGCCAGAATGGGCAGGGAACACAAAGGCTTCTGGAGAAAAAGAAGTTTATGCTGTGCTCTTCAAAACACAAGAACCACTTTAAAGCTAATATTTAAACTATGTTTTACTTGAGTGGTTTTTCCTTATTACAAACAGCAATATTCCATATAGAGAATATTGAAAAGCACCTAATTTTAACTATCAGAAACTTTGCAGGCTCTTAATTTTGCAAACCAAATATCGATTAGTCTTCTTTTGTTCTGTTCTTGTACGTATCTATCTCCCGCTGACACTCCCAGAGAGGTCGGGCCCAAGACTGAGTTTACCTCATCGGAAGGAGTTCCCAGAAGGACAGCAAAGAGGCTCGCTGGTGGGTGTCTCTAATCTGAGTCTGCCAAGTCCCCAGAAGCCTGAAAGAAACAAGCCAATAAACAAGTTGCCATCAAGTCGATTTGGAATCAAGCGACCCCATGTGTTGTCAGAGTAGAACTGTGCTCCAGAGGATTTTCAATAAATGATTTGTTTCATAAATATCTCATTTTACCCCACTTCACACGGGGGAAAAAACAGCTACGATGTCCCCCAAACCTGGGGCACCTGGAAGTACTAGATGTGACAGCTTGCAAGGTCATTGTGGGAGATTTTTCAAAGTTCCTCGTCCACAGCAAAGCCCTTGGGCAGGGTGTCATGTCTGCTGGGCAGGGTGTCCTGTTTGCCTGCCAAGGTCCTCGTTTTTCATCCATAGGATGAGGCACGATGAGCTAGTTCATCTCTGATCTATTTGTGCACAGGGGAGTCCGAGGAGTTCGGAATGGGAGCGCAGACGAGACCTCGGCCAGTGCGCAGCTCCCCCACGCACGCCCTGGGCACCCACGATCCGGCTGGTGTCCGCACTCACCAGCTCGCCGGGCGCACAGCGCGCGCCGCAAGCCTCAGTGCAGCGGCGGCCATAGCCCCTCCTGCCGCCTACGGGCCGCTTCCGGGCGCGCGCCCTTCGGCGGTCCGGCCTGTGGTGTACCGCGTACCAGTCCGATCTGCGCGCCGCCCGGTGCTCTCGCGTTCCGGCCGCGGAGGGTCGGGCAGACTCTGGCCCCGCCCCCGACGCAGCCCCGTCCGGGACGTCCCGGCCGCACGCGGACACGCCCCGAGCGCCTCGCACCTCGAGCGGCTAGGGGTCATTCTTTCCATCTCCTCCCGCGCCGCAAGCCTTCCTTGGCAGCGGGCGGAGCTCCGTCCGCAGCAGTTCCCCTAGCTGGTTTACCTTCGCCCGCGCGAGGGCCTAAGCCCCGCACAGCAGCCCGAGTGGCCGGGAGTGGGGAGGTTCCTTTTGTTCCTCCGGGCTCCAGTATCCACGTCTATGAAAACGGTCCTGGTCTTCCAGTAAACGCGCCCGCCTTGGCTGCCTTTGCGAGCCCCCTGGTGCTGGCTCGGGGCCTCCTCGCGAGGGCCACAGCCCTGGTCGGGCTTTGAGGAATGCTCTTTCCCCCGCATTCATCCGAGAGCAGGGCCGCGGCGGCCCGCCAGTGGTTGCATCCTGGCGCTGGCATGGAGCCTGGCGTTCGCGAGATGCCCACTAAACGCATGTTGATGAGTGACAGAGGCTAGTTAATAAGTCGGAGTCGAAACCAGCGAGTTAGAGCTGGTGAGAGGGCGGTCTATGCCACGCAGGCCCCGCTTGGCACTCGGGACGGCCCCGTCGGCCGGCTGTGCCTCTAGCCCCGCTAGCTCTCCGCGGTCGCAGCCGACCCGCCCCTCGTCGGCAGCAGCGCCCTGAGTTGCCCCTGCCTGCGGAAGGGCCCAGGCGTCCCTATCCGTGTGGGGAGCGGTTTCCCGCCGGGGCGATTTGGCAGGTGCGCGCCGTGACTTCCGGCGTTGCCCGGGAGCCGCTGGAGGAGGAGCGGCGCAGGGGATGCGGCTGTGGCGGCGGCGGCGGCGGCCGAGCGCGGGGGGCGGCTGT